ATGTATAGAGAAAATGTGGTACATTTATAAGATGGAGTACTACTCAGCAGAAAAATAAAAAACAATGGAATCTTGAAATTCGAAGGCAAACAGAATTTAAAAAAAAAAAAATCCCGAGGTAACTCAGACCCCAAAAGATAAATATAAATGTACTCAGTCATAGAGATTAGACATAAAGCAAAGGATAACCAGCCTACAGACCACAACCCAAGAAGCTAGGTAACAAAGAGGACCCTAAGAGAGACACACATGGAAAAAAGACAAGATCTCCTGAAGAAATTGGGAGCATGAGGGGCAGGAGGCAGGGTGGGAAGGGTCAGGGGAGTAGGGAAAAGGAGTGGGGTAAAAAAAAAGTATAGCTCAATTTAAAAAAATTAGAAGAAAAAAAACAAAAAGCTCAAGGACAGCCCTCTTGCCTCATGCAAATGTCCTTCAGGTAAATCCCCAGTGGCTTGGAATCCCTTTTTTTCCTAGTGGCTCAGGTGGTCCTGATCATCATGAGAGAAGAAATATGTATCAAACCAAGTCCATGATCCCTGCACTGGAGCAGGGTGGGAAGGTGGTATCAAATACACCACATTGCTTAACTATGATGTTTGAACCTTACCCTCATGTTAGGGCAGGAAGACATACTAGGGGAAGTCACTGGATCTCAAACCAATGTCCTTCTCCCTAATGTAGCCATACTGAACAAACCCTCTTTCCCTACTTCTCACTATTAACTTGAATTTACTTGGATTATTGTGATGATTAGATTACCCTGGCCTCTTAGGGCTGTGAGGACACAAGCACTAAGCTTAACTCCAACGACATTCGGAATAAATTTACCACTTAAGAGTCCAATAGGTGAAGGGCAACCACCTCTCCCTGGAACACTAAAAACACTATCCATGTCAATATTAAGTTACCGAAGTTCTTACTAAAAGTACTCCTTCTGGTACTCACTTTTTCTGCAAAGAAGTAGAAACCCTAGGGCAAGGAACAATCTAACTCCCTAATTAGTAGCTATTGGAAAAGTCCTAGCTGCCTGAGCCAAAGGGCTATCAACCAGTCTGCCAACAGCAGCTGTTGTGAACATGTATATGTCTTTAGAAAATCATATTGCTGTGGGGAGACACCATGACCAAGACAATTTATAAAATAAAGCATTTAATTAGGGGCTTATTTAGTTTCAGAAAGTTAGTCCATGAACATCACGGTGTGCAGCAGGGCAGCAGGCAGGCATGGCACTGGAGCCCTGACCAAGAGCACATGGAGAGAGACAGAGACAGAGACAGACTGAACCTGGTATAGGCTTTTGAAAGCCCACCCCCAGTGACATACCTCCTCCAAAATGCCACACCTCTTCCAACAAGGTCACACCTCCTAACGCTTCCCAAACAATTCCATTCACTGAGGACCAAGCATTCTAACCTATCAGCCTGGGGGCCACTATCATTCAAACCACCATACAGCATACAGCATACTATTACAGTTCCTGAATATGCAGCCTCGGCCAGCACTGACCAGACTGTCACTACCACAAGCCTTGGTGACGTTAGATGACCCTGCAAGGTCTTACATTATATGGAATCTACAAATCAGCTATATGATTATTATTAGAAGCAAAGGAAATTCATGGGAAACAGGAAAATGTTGATCAAAGTATTTGATAGGATGGTAATGCCCCATCACATAAAATGATATGTATTACTAAAAACAATGTGGGCCAGGAAGATGGCTTAGCAGGTAAGAGAGCTTGCTATGCAAACTTAATAACTTGAGTTCAATCTCCAGAACCCACGGAAAGAAGTGTGGAGTAGTGACGCATATCTATACCCCACCATTTCTACACCATGATAGGAGACAGACAACGAAGAACTGCCCAGAAACTCACTGGTTAGCCAGCCCACTGTACACAGCACGTAAAAACAAGACTCTTCCCCGAGACAGTGTGTAAGGAAAAGAACTGACTCCTAGAAATTATCCTTTGACTACACACATACACAGAATCATAATATAATGAACATATACTTTACACTTTAAGTATATGAAATGACAAGTTAATTAAGTAGCCTGGTTTTATCACCCCATATCACAAATACCAAACTGACATATTGTAACTAATAGTAATTTCTTTTCCTAGTGCTGTGACCAAATAACTACATGGTTTGAGGAAGTACAGGTCACCCTGGCCAGGGAGTCATGGCACTTGAGCCCCTGCAGGCCATGGCTGCAGGGCAAGAGAAGGCTACTGCACTGGGCTGAGAGGAAGTGGGAGCTAGAGAAGACAAGCAGGTCAAGCCAAAATCTCTAAAATGTACCCCATTTTCAGCAACCTACTTCCTCCATGTGGGCCCCACCTCCCAAAGGTTCCAAAGCCTCAAAACAGCATTACCAACTGCATACCAAATGTCTAAGCACATGAACCTGTGGGGGACATTTCACACTCCAAGCAGAACAACCCATAGACACACATAACTACCTCTTGCCCATTAAAAATAAAAATGTTTAATAAAAACTGTTAAGAAAAAAAAAAAAACAGAATCATCAAAAACAAGGAAAACCATGTCAATGTGTTCCTTGTAGGAGGGGGACAGTCTCACTGCTTATGTAGCATAAACAGTGGAAACTCAGCAGCTGGTTTAATGTGGACTCCTTCTCAGCACAGCCATAGGAGGAGAGTAGAATAGAGGCAAGGAGGGCCACTGAAAACTGAAACCTCATCAATGACCACAGATGGGAAATGCTATCCAAAAAGAACAGCTGGAAGAAAACCAGAAGCATGTTCATTATCGATGCTGAAGTAAATAGCTATAAAACAGATAAAGTCAAGCTCCCTCTAGTGTGTGTGTCAAAGGGCACACACAGGAAGGAGACATGATGTGTTGAAACAATACTGGGAAGTCGAAGAGGTCACATGGAGAAACTAAAAGGGATATAATAAAGGAATGTGGAGAATAACTTATGGCATATATGTATCTTTAACAAGTGTCTAGTGCAGAAAAAAATCAGTAATGAAAAATAGTATTAGGACCTCCAAAATGTTCTTTTTACACTATTCTATGAATGTGTATAATTATAAATTCCCTAAAACAGCTACTGTAAACATCTTCATAATATTGTCT